ATTTTAATGAAACATAAACAACATTGTCTCATCCCGCATCCTTTTTAACATGTCTTAAAAACTCAATATATTGTCCAGACTTACACTCAGCTAGTATTTAACGAGTGTTTCCAGGAAATCTGGTATATTTGCACAAACTATGGTTGAAAAGAAAAGGAAAATATTAAAATTAAGTGAATGTCTCTATTTAAAAAAAAAAAAAAAAATCATGATGTGATATTATAGAAATCTGTTCACTATTTTTATTACAAATTATATCAGTAAGGAAGCTGACTAAATATTAACTGATAATTTATGGCAAAGGGGTGGGATTAAATAAGCGTTTACTTCTTCCCACTCCGTTTTAACATGTAAATTAATCAGAACGGTAGCTATATTGAAATGTATTGATTTTTTTTGTATATTATTTTTTTTTCTTTCTTATTTTCTTTTCTAAATGTACCGGTATATTGTTTACATGTTTGAAATAAATTACAAATCAAAGTGTCTGTTAGGACCCAAAACAAATTGCAAGAAGGTTTCTAGTGCAGCAAACCTTGTAACGGAATTCATATAGTAACAGCCAGCAACCCATGGAGGTTGCTGGCTGTTACTCACTGTTGATCACGTTCACGGTTACTGAATCTGTACTCACCAACTCTTCCCTAGGCCAGAATGACTGGATGACATTAAAATGTTGAAAATACAAATTTGTTGGAATAGGACCAAAGATGTGGAATACAATCCAAGCGTGCCCATGAATGCTGCATTTATGTTTTTAATGGATTCTCAGATACACAGACACAGTAATACAAAACAGCCATTTAAAAATACCCACAAGTGTCTCAATTCAGGTGGCAGGAAAGTAATGAGAAGCAAAAAAATTGCAGACAAAATGTATCAATCTAAGAGTATTTTAAGCATATTATTTTGGATGTGAGCATTATGCCCAGTTTGTCTGCAGGACAGCCCACTCCTTGCCCTTACCTCCTTTTCACTATAGGAGATATTACGGATGCCGCTCCAAGGAAAGGACTTGTTAGGGGCGAGTTTGCTGTTGGGGCTGTAGATGTGAAGACCCTGGGCATCAACTCCAAGTAGGAGGTTTGTGTCCCTCTTATTTTGCTGCCAATATATGTAGAAACACAAATGTTAACCCAAGAGACAGCAAAGTTAAATGTCAGATTCAAAAATGTGAAATCAAGTCATACTAATTCACACTCACAGTAATTTCAAAGTAGCTGACACCATACATCTCAAGATCCTGAGCAATCTTTAGGTATTCCATCTCAGCTTCATCTCTATATGGACGATGTGAAAATAAGAAAGGGGATCACACAATGATACACCGATTACACTTAAACTACATGATCTCGTGCAATCTTTTGCTAAAGGTGTTAATAAGTCTTCACATGCTGGTCTTCAGCAGCCCCCTGGGTCAGCTGTACCTGGCGAGGCCTCTGTGCTCGGCATACCAAGCTGTGATCTTCTCCTCCCACATGTCTGCTGTCATTTGGTACTGCATCACAACCTGGGATAAAGACACAGGATCACAGGGAAAATGTTAATACACTGAATGCACAGATGGTGTCTGACAAACTCGGCCAGAAATGACTGCTAACAAAAGAAAATAATTCTGGGAAGCACCAGTTTTCATAGGTCAAATCTGCACAGAGACCTGTATACTTACTGTTTTTGGCAAAAGCTCATCTTGTGCCAGGAAGCCTGGTTTATGGAAGTTTGTATCAAAGTCTCCATACTGAAAGGGAAACAACAGTAAACAACAAATCAAACATTAATGACACACAGAGGAAAATATTTATTCAGAGTTTGGTTGAATAACATAGGTCATTAGGATCTGTGCAGTAAATAAGTTGCCCTTCATCAAATTTTTGCCCTTTTGTATCTCATGAATGCACTGCTCTTCATGCTGTCCATATAACTAATCTGCATTATATTGATTTTGTTTCATATTTGCATGATGGTCTCCAGCAGCAAATGTACTCCAGGAGACTAATTATTTTCAGATAAAAGAAGGCCGAGCAACTGCTGGTTTAGTGAGAATTTGACCCTCCAAATTTTCTTACCTTAGCTTGGACGGCATATGATGCCAACAGAACTGAAGCTTCAGGGGAGCAGAATATCTCTTCATCTAATATCTGTTTTTTTACCTAAACAAGAGTTTGACAACATGTGTGAACATGTACTGAGCTACATAAAAGCTTCTTAGACGTGAGGTAAAAGCTACACACAGGTTGAGTTAAAATTCAAAATAAACTAAAGGAAAGAAATTCACCTAAAGGTTTCACCACAAAGTTATCAGAGTACCTGTAAGAAGAAGAGGTGTTGAGTTATTTCTTGAACCAGCTCTTCTTCTACTTTTTCCGGGAAAAATTTAGCAAGGAAATTAAATGTTATGGGAGAGTCCTTAGGAACCTCCTGGTCCAAGACCTTGATGAAAGATGAAAAGGAAAAGTTATTATATTGTGTTTATACAACCATTCAAAAAAAGTTGGGGTATTGGGCAGAATACAGTGATCTGCAGATCCTATAAAGCCATATATGTTTTACAGAAGAACATAGAAAACATCATGTTCCATTCCACGGAAAACAAATTTCTCAACTCATTTAGAATTTCTCTCTTCCAGCATAAAGAAATATTTGCACGCTGACTGATCTAGCCAATATAAATGTCTTATTTAAGCAACCTGTATAACCTTCCAAATATCCAGGTGACCTCTTTTTCCGGGAAAGCCTTCCATAATTCCATACTTCATAGTAGAGTCCAGGTACTGCCTGGCTGCAGTTCACCAGCTGAAATCATTTGGTACTCCATGGTACAAAAAATACGAAAAAGCTAGAATATTAACTAGAATATTAACTCTGACAAGAACGGGACAACATTCATCTCCCAGAAATCCAGCAGCGGCTCTCTTCCTTTTCCAGATTTTTACAGGCTGGTATTAAAAGAATAGTGCATGCTTCACAGTGGTAAACATGACCCTGTCCCAACTTTCCTAAAATGGGACATTTTTGCCGTTCAAAGATTTTATATGCATTTATAGTCTATTGTGAATAACATGTGGCTCTATGAGGTCTGTAAATTATTGCGCCATGTTTTTATTGACATTTTACACTCTTTTTTTTTTTTAATTGGGGGTTTATTTGTTTATTTTTGGATCTCAGAGCCAATCTCCTTAGAATTATTCCTTCACTTACCCGCTTGTCTGGTTTTAGCCAGGCATAGGTATCCTTTACTGTGTACCTAAGTCCAAAAAACCAGGTCTCCCTCAAACCAACAGTTCGACATACCAGGTCAAAGAGGTCTTTACCTTTCCACTTGACCTGAAAAGAAAGGAGTTAGAAAGATATGAGCAAGTGAAAATGCTCAAAGCAAGGGTATTTGCAGCTGGAGCCCTTTAACTGTCCTGTCTCAATATAAAGAAAAATGTAAGAATAATTATTATAAGAATCTTTCAATCCTGGTGTACTGGCAGGGCTCCCTGCAGTGTGTTATAGTGTAGGTGGGACACATCCCCAAGAATCTAATGTATCCTGTGAAATGTAATCTTTCACAGGACAAAAATGAGCTGTGGTTTAAAAAGATAACATATCAATGTTTGTGGGGGGAAAGCAGCGGTATTATTTCACACAGCAGAGGCCCCACATGAGTATAGCCATTGTTGACTGTCATTTACTTGCTCAATCAATCACAAGATAACGTGTGTCAGGATCTATAACTGCTGCTGATAAACTATCTCCTGGGTAAACCCACACATGAGGTTGCATGACATGCGTCTTAGATTACAGCAGTGCCCTTCACGTTTAAAACCAGTGAAAGGCCTCGTACAATTTTGCCCAATTTAACTTTTGCAAGGTGTGATGCATGGACTTTTCAAGCAATTCTTTACTGTTAATCTGGGGGTTCATTTTAAATGAGCCAAAGATTATATATAAAAATGTAATCACAGTTAATTATTATACTTCGACATATCATACAGGCTCGCATATATCCATACCTCGCAGCTAAACTCCATTTCAGCATCCATAGTGATAACTTTGACTTTAAAAGTCTTTGGCTGCTTCTTCTTTAATCCCAGGATAGACATTTTGAAGACGTTTCGGTCAAAAAGCTGTGGAAAAAAATTAACACAACAGATTATAGAGCTACAAATTACATTTAACAAGTGATACGATGAACCAACTCATGACTTAAGTAGCACGTTTTTAATGTAATTTACGGTGTTAAGCGCATGGAAGGAACTGCTTCTTGATCATGTTCTCTTTAGCATCCAAACGATAATTTAGTTTTTCCAGCGGTTTTAGAGATACGAAAAAAATTAATCAAAATCATTAAAAAGTTAGATGGGGCCATTACCGCTTAATAAAGTTTGAAACTTCTGGTGTCCAACAACTCTGAGAAGAGGCAGGGCTTTTGTGTGGGGAGAGCAATGCTAGGCTAACATTTACTACAACAAACAGCAGTTAGCTTCCCAGCTATGCCACGAAAACCGAGCAGAAAAAGTTGTAGAAAGAGCGAAACTTTTGAGAAACTCCCATGATGAAATACATCTAATTAAGCGAAATTCAGATGTTAAAGCTGATTCAAATAACACTTGGGAACAACTGTGCTAACTCTCTCGGTTTTAGGTGGGTTAGCTTTCTGTTAAAATCTAGGACGACTTTCCAGAAGATTTTTGTTTTGATTCCCAAACACTCTACAGGTGGGAACACGAATAGCAACTGTGGATAACGCTACTGCGCATGAGCAAGCGCGAGTTCAAAGGCCTCCTTCGGTGGTTGTTGGGAAATACTGGTTCCAGGCGTGGTGTGTGGCCGTGAATGCAGCAGCTAGCAAAGATCATATACTATAAAATAAAATGTATAGGAAAGAAAATAATCTGAAAGAATGTAAACGCCTCTTTATGGCGGAAAAAGAGCAGAGAAAGCTGCCTCTTTACCTGAAAGACTTTACTGAGGGAATAGCGTGCCCGCTCTTTTATACAGTCATTGGTTGCTTCCTGGTGTTGCTGCACAGGCTCTCGGTGTCCCCGATTCAGTTTGCAGCAGTAGTCCTGTCTTTATTGTTGGAGTGTGAACGGAGAAAGAAGAAAGATCCAGGGAGACGACCGCTGGTAAACTGGCGCCCTGTCTCTGTATCTTGACACGTATACATATATGTATGTATGCAGCAGATTGTGTCTTCTACAACCGTAAAAGAAATCAGACAAGTGAGTGTGCAAGCCGAAAGAGCCCGTGTCATTTACTACATTGCAGAAGTTATAATAATACAATAAAAATAATAATGATAATCATGTGCAGCTGTTGTGTTAATTGATTAATGATCCAGTCTGTTCAGACAAACGTATGCTGGTTTTAGTTTCCAAAATTGTTCATTTTTGATCTTTAATTAGGCTAATGTGAAAGTAGTCAACAGATCTGTTGAGTAGACGAACAAATTACATTTATGATGACTGACAGAGCAATTAAAATCTCAAAACCAAAAATTAAATTTGCTAGAAAATGAACCAAAGAATGTACGCTGCCTATATATTAAGACTGTATCTGTAATGTGTATGCACATTTGGAGTCTCTGGTTGTTATGATTTTGCTCGACTATGTTTGTTTCTTCTCAGCAGGTGTGTATATAATGTCAGCTGTGGCTAACACATTTGAAAATGTGAAAGCAGTTATTCTAGCAGCCCATAAAAACACAACATCAACGGACAAGGTCTCCTTTTACAACTCCTGGGCAGAGAACTATGATCAGGTGAGATAACCTTACCTTTTATATTTTACTAATACTTGCTGATTTTTATTATTAGCCACATCACTGCCTATATGGCTTGTTTTTCTATTCTAGTTCCTTGTAGTTTACATGCTTAAATGTTATCTGTATTGTTATAATTTTAGGCACTAATGTTACATTTGTCACTCTGCTGTTTTGTATGGTATAACCTTTAGTCTACTGTAATTTTTTAGCAATGTTTGACACGTACTAATCTTTTGGTGGATATCTAATGGATAATAGTGAAAATATTGGTACTTTTTTCCAGGTAAATAAAAGAAATTGTTAGCACAGTGCAATTTTATTATAAGAAGAATATGCATCTGAAAATACAATGTTGTGAAATTTATCGTTACATATGTAAAATAAAGTAAAAGAGTACAAATTACAGTTCTATAGGATTTATCTGATGGAACAATGTTATGTATGTGTTTCATACATAATTAATGGGTAACTGTTCATGTTTTTGAGTAGGATGTGGCTGTCCTGGATTACCGTGCACCAACTCTGGCAGCAAACTGCATCTCTTCCCATTTCAGTGGAGATCGTGAAGGTGCCGTCGTATTGGATGTGGCCTGTGGTACAGGACTGGTGGCCACACAGGTAAAATAGAAAAAGAACACATGGCCTCAGGGAGAAACTGTAAATGTGCAGTCTTAATGAAGTGATTTGCAATTTAATATCTGACAAATCCTTTTTTGAAAACATTGTTGATATTTGATCTTTTTCAGTCTTAATAAATGTCTAGAAATTTCTTATAATGTAGTGACCTTTTCTTTCTTGATTCTACAACTTAATAACTATGTGTCTGATAACAACCTAAACATGTTGCACAGTTGAAGAAACTTGGATTTGGAAAGTTTGTGGGGGTAGATGGAAGCAAAGCTATGTTGGAGTTGGCAAGACAGAGCGGGTTGTACCAGGATTCGAAGCAGATCATGCTGGGAGAGGAGCCACTGCCTATCCAGTGGGGTATTTAAAGCTTTATGATTATTTTATCCAAGTCATTAATTACTGTGTAATTTAATTTTCGGTTCTCAGGTAAGATGCTTTTGATTAGCGCTTGTGTGCCTCTATTTTTCAGAGCTATTTAAAAATTCTCGCATTTCAAGTGATTGTTTTCACGTTTTTTTTATTGTTATGAAATCTAAAATCATAATTTTAAAAAGTAAAATAATTACTGTTATTGTCATATGATATTATTTATCTTTATATTTTATACAACACTTACCTGTTATTGCTTT